GGGGTTCCTGGGGCGGCTTCCTGAGGCTCAGGAGAGGTAAATGCAGGCCGGACTCCAGGCTGGCATCGGCCCAGCCCGCGTCCGAACAGGGTGGCCGGGGCCCCTTCCTTCGCTTCTCACCAGCCCCGCACTGGGCGCCCCCGCCACCGCTGCCGCGCGCCAAAACCTGCAGCGGGCCCCGCCTCTCCACGTGGCCCGGCCTCCGCATCCCGTCAACCCCCGCGAGCGCCCCAGCCCGCCACGTGACCTCGACCTGCAGCTCCTCCCCAGCGCCCGGGGTGGGGTGGGAGCCGCTGGCTGGCGCCTGGAGGCGATCGCCCCCTTCAGGCATGTGGTGGCACTACAGCGGGGAGTGGCGGGACGGGGTTGAGGGCTTGAGGGCAATAGAACAGAATCGCTGCTTCTGCTTAACAAGAAATGTTTTGTTTTGTTTGTTTGCTACTAGGAATTGAACTCAGGACCTTGCAGTTGCCAGGCAGGCGCTTATGCCGCTGAGCAATATCCCCGGCCCTCGAAGTGGTTTCATAGCTGCCAGTTCCCCTGTTTATAACTTTAAGAACTCAGCATTGGAAGACAAGACAGTGCCATACGTAGTGGCCCGCACCCCTCATCCCAGCCCTCCATGAAGCTGAGGCAGGAGGATGGCAAATTAGAAGCCCCACCTAAGCAATTTAAAGTCAAGTCAAAGGCCAGACGGTGTGGTGGCACAGGCTCACCATTCTGGATCCTAGCATTCCAGAGGCCGAGGCAGAAAGATCGCTGTGAGTTCGAGGCCAGCCTGGGCTACATAATGAGTTCATCACTGGCCTGAACGACAAAGCGAGACTCTGTCTCCAGATAAAGAAAGGAAACATGGTTCCTGCCTTTTGTGGATTGGGAACATTTGTCCTGGTCGGGAAAAGCCCCAGGAAGTCCTGTGGGGATAGCAAAATTAGTGGGAGGCCTTGGTGCACTGAATGAGTGAGTCAGCCGGGAAACGTTGCAGCATAGGTCACATTAAGCCAAGAGGGAGCCAGTTTCCTTGGGAAAAAGTTTGATCTAGGCTCTGTGCATATTCACCCGACATGGGATGTGGAGTTGGCCTGGATAGGGAATTGGGGGCTTGGAAGGTGCCTAAGTAGTATGGAGTGGGAAGAGTATTTTTTTTTTAAAGACAGAATCTCACTATGCAATTCAGGCTGGCCTTGAACTCACAGTGATCCTCCTGCCTCTGCCTCTCAGATGCTGAGATTTGAGGCCTGTACCACCATGCCCAACACTTGAAGAGTAAATTTAAAATCAGATTTATTGTGGGCCCATTTGACCTTCCAAGATCACAGGGATCGTGCATAAGCAGATGCCTTGAGAACTTCAGGGCTGGGCGCCCATGGCCGAAGAAACACACTACCAGAGACCTGGGAGGAGCAGCGTGCCATGAGAGGTGTCTCGGGGCTCCTGCTTTCGAGGGGAAACAGGTCACAGGCGATAGGGCCAGAAGGCTGCGGACTCTGGCCGGGATACTTGTTGCCCCGTCATCAGCACCTGTCAGCGCTCGCATGACCAGGTGCTATTTCCAGAGGCCCAGCCTTGGGCGGGGCCGGGCGCACAGGCCAGGGAAGTCTTGTGGGGCTGCGCCCTGCGCGGCTGCAGTTCCAGATCTCCGCCACGCGGGGGCGCCCATACCCAACCACAACTCGAGGGGTGGGCGGGCACAGGCGAGCTAAGGAGCTTGCAGAGGACATTAGGGACATCGGGGTGACCCTGCGCAGAGAGGTGACCCGGGGATCACCCTGCTGTGCAGCTTCAGGCCCTTTGCAGGCTTGTCGCAAGCCAGCCTTAGTCTCCGTCTCCAAAAAGGACGGATGGACGTGGGCGCTAGGTCCCCAAGCTCCCTTGCACCCAAGTGCACTGTGGTCATTTCCTGCTCTGCAACTTCCTCCGCGTCCCCACCCCAGCCCGCGCGGGTCCTGAGGAATGCTGTCTGCTGGCCGGGTGCCAGGCTGCGGACGCTCCGGGCTCCAGGGTGGGGTTTGGCCGAGGGGAAGCCCTTTGGACAGGACGACCAACCATCAGTCCTGCCCGCTTCCCCCCTCTCTCTCTCCCTGTTGAGCACAAAGCCCGCCTGCTGTGTGCTGTCACCACCATCTACAGATTTCCTTGCCAGAACAAAACATGCACGCTCTGGCAGCAGCAGCGGTATCCTGGGCATTGTGTCCTGCAGTGGGCGGGAGGGCCAGTACCTACAGCAGAACTGCTTTCTCATCGCTGGACCTGGAAGGACTCTGTGGCCAGGGTCCTGAGGTGGGGGGTGGGGATGGGGAGTGTTGTAAAACAATGATTCAGCCCCAGGGCGCCTTCTGGAGCCTTCTCAGAGCTTTGGGTCTAAACAAGTACCCCGTCTTTATACAGTTAAGCCCAGGGGTAAGCAGAGTTTTTGTATATCTGACCTCAACTCAGCTTCCATTTCCCTGACATAAATCAGCTGCATTTTAAACTCATCTATCCAGTCTACATCAACACCAAGGAAATCATGGTCAGGACTGTAATCCAGCACTGCGTAGGCTGAGGCAGGAGGATCCCTGTAAGGTTTAAGCCTCTCTGAGCTACAGTATGAGACCCTGCCTCCAATAAATAAATAAATAAATAAAGTCAAACAAAAATAAGAGCAAGGAAATCTTTCCAGCCCACTGTCACATCGAGTAGGTTCAGTAAGAACGGGGAGTCGCTGGCATCTCATGAAGGCAGAGACCAAGCCTTTCAGGGGCTCTGGCTCCAGGCCAAGGGCTCACAGAGCAGCAATGGATTTGCATTGGAGGAGGAGAATCTCCGACGCTACCCCTTGACAAAGTGAGAACTCAGTCCCGTGGCGCCCCCTGTCGCTCTGAACCACTCCTGCAGCCTGCGCATCTGACGTCATCGTCTGTGGTCCCGCGCCAGATTCCCAAGTGCTGTCCTGAAATCTCAGCCCCCGCGTCCAGAGCCTCGGAGACAGCCAATGTAGGTCACTGCAGCCCAGCCTGCAGGGCTGGCTGTGCCTGAGACTCAGCACTCTCGGGCACGGAGAGGAAGCCTTGCAGAGAAGCAGAAGAAAGGACTGTGTTTCTCAGAAAATGAAGCAGGGAAGCCAGGTGTGGTGGTGTCCGCTTGTAATTCCAGCACTCTGGAGGCTGAAGCAGAAAGATCTTGAATTTGAGCCTGGGCTGTGTACTGTAACTAGTTGACAGCCAGCCTAGATTACATAGCAAGACTGGCTCAAAAATAAAAATAAAATAAAAAAGAAAGAAAAAATAAGATGAGCATGATATGATGGTGCATATCTGTAGTCTCAGCCCTTAGCAGAGGCTGAGGCAGGAGGATTGCTGTAAATTCGAGGCCAGCATGGGCTACCTGATGAGTTCAAGGCCACCCTGAACTATATAAAGAGACCCTGTCTCCAAAAACCAAAGAAAAAACTAAAGAAAAAAAATAAATGAATGAATAAAAAGAAAGACAATGAGAAGCAGGAAGAAGCCAGGCGTTGGCGGGTTGCACTGAGACACTGGGGAGCTCGGGGCCTGGGAAACTCTGTGAGGAAGACAAAGGCAGAGAAGAGGGCTGGGTGTGGCCCCGCCTGTGCAAGACACTGTGTGGGTGTGCTGTGTGTCCCCCATTCTCCACTCACTTTCCAGGCTCCGATTTCATTCCCAGGAGCCGCTGGGATTTGCCTTAGGGACCCTCTCTGCCTCTTCCGGCCGGGTTTCTGGGTCTCAGGAAGCTAGAGTGGGCCAGCAGTCCCCACCCTGTTCCATTGAAACACTTTTCCTGCCCATTATCTGTGAAGTGGCCTCACTGCTTTTGCTGGCTCTCCCTGCCCAGGCTGCCTCTGAGATCTGCAGTGTCCCTTTGTGTGTGTACGTTTGTGTGTGTGTGTGCACACGCGTGTGCTTTATTCTTCTGGTTGCACCCAGGGTGTCAAGAGCCTAAGGCTGTAGTTAGCTTGGGGTTCCCAAGGGAAGGGACCAATTTTCACCTCCAGTCTCAAACAATTTAAATCACAATCAGTTATTCGAAGAGGAGATGCAGGACAGGAAGACAGTGGGCAAGAGCAGGGCGGCTTGGCCTTCTCTTTCTTCCCCTGTTCCTTGGACCCCGAGGACTTCTGATCCCACTACTCTTGTGCCACTGTCTGCCCTCATTCCTGGGACCCTGCCTGCTTTTTAGTATTCTGAGTTAAACTAAATCTGGTGGTGCTCTCTGGCTGAACTTTCTGTTTTGTTTTGAGACAGGATATCACAATGCAGTGCAGGCTGGTCTTGAACTAGAGACAATCCTCCTGCCTCAGCCTCCTCCAGGAGTGCTGAAATGACAGGCCTGTGCCACCACACCTAGCTTTTTGGTTAAAATCTGAGATGGAACCAAGGAAGGAGGAGGCAGATTCATTCCCAGATCCTCAGCCACATTCTCAGGGATGTTCCTGGCTCTGCCATCTGTGGTTCACAGAACAGCAGATGCACCACGAGCAAGGGTTCTGCTCTGGAATCTGACTCTGTCCTAGGAAAGGGCCCTGGGCACCTGCATCCCTGGCAGGGTTAACCCCACTGCTGAGCCTGAGAACCATTCTCTCAGTGAGTTCTGTTTGTGGTGAGGACCTGACTGGTTCTCTGACCGCATGGTTTGGGAGGAAGTCTGGGGTGAGACTGAGCTTCTGATCTGCTCTCAGCCCTCGGCCCTAGGTGCACAGGGAGCTGGGGACCGGGCGAGCCAGGTTGGTCTCAGGCTGATCTCTGTTTGCACACGGCCCTTGGATTCCAGGCTTCCTGAAAAATCACCCCCAAAAACATGTTTGGAGGCTGCAGCGGCGGAGCACTAGGAATTTCCTGTAGCGAGGCGGCCCCGTGCTGGGAGGGGAGGCGCAGCAAAGCCACCAGCCGGTCCCCACTTGCTCGGCAGGGCCACGTGCCCCACCCCCTCGAGCACATGTCTGCGCCGCACTGCCGGCAGCCGGCTGTTTATGAGCGAGTTGTTGTGGTGGAAATGGAGCAGGCTGCACATGCCCGGGCCATGTGACCCAGGCGGCCCGCGTGAGCCGGCACAAACACAGGGCCCTGTCCTCCGGTGGCTGCCTGGGAGGGCAGGCGGGAGGAGGGGACCCAGTGAAAGGGCACAGGACTCCCTTCTGCTTTCCTGGCCCAATACCCTGCTCGGTTCCTTTGGTGTCCTCAGAGCCACAGGAGGGCAAACACCGGCAGGGGTGTTTGGGGTTCACACAGCCCAGAGCCCTGCTCCCCCAAAGAACAAGGGGGCTCTCGAAGCCAAGAGCACAGAACTCTGACCTTTGCCTGCGCTGACCTAGAGCCCAAATTCGGTTTCACATGGATCCCTACATTTGGGAGAGCCTGTCCCCTTCTTGTAAGAGTGTGTACCACACACATGCAGCCACTGTCCACCCCTAGAGCAGAACAAAGAGAATTCGGGGTGTGCGGGGGGGGGGGGTGTTAAGGGAGGCAGCCCCACCCCCTCATTCGGCAGAGACTGGGAGATCGCTGCACAGGAAAGGGAAGCGCTGCGTTCCAAGCGTCTGCGGTGCAGAGTGCGCCACGATGTAGGGGACCCCCTAGCCCCAGCTCCCTCCTTGCAGCCCTCTGCCCTGGCCCTGCCTGTGACCTGGTTTCCCAGCCGCGGCGTCCCTCGCTGCAGTCAGGCGGACAGTAGGTTACCAGGAGCAGGCGCACCCTGAGCGTGCACGACCCACATTCGCTCAGGCACCAAAACTTCGCAGGTCCTGCATTGCGGAGGTAGAGCTTTTTTTTTTCTCTTTCTTTCTTTTTTTTTTTGTCTTTTTCCTTTTTATCGGTACCGGGGATCGAACTCACGACTGCCTGCTTGTAAGGCAGGCGCTTATGCCGCTGAGCTAAATCTCCAGCCCCTTTCTTTCTTTCTTTCTTTCTTTTTTTTTTTTTTTTTTTTTTTTTTTTGAATCTCCGCTGGGCCCCTACAAGCTTTGGAGTCTGCATTTTTGCAAACAGCACAGATTTTTTTTTCTCCAGGGTGCAAACTGTGCATTCTAATGAGGCGAGGTTGCTTCCTGCGGCATTGAAAATCTTTCTGGCAAATTGCTTCTCTTCTTCCCCCCATAATTTGGAAAAGGGGGAAGGATCGTGAATCTATGAAGTTGCATCCTTTCTCTTCCCCTCTCTCCCTGCCTCCCTCCCGGAGATCCTGCTGCCCTTCCAGCTGCAGACCCAGGAGGCGGTGTAGCAGGAGGGGCGGGGGGGGGGGGGGGTGCGGGGAGGCTGAGCCTTTCCTTCTCTTCAGGTAGGCTGAACCGCAGTGGGGCGGGGGCTGCTTTCTTTCCTGGGCCTCCTAGAGCCCTAGGCCCCCATGATGCCTGCCTGGGACTCACACTCACGAGGCTGGTCATGAGCCTCTGGCCTTTCTGGGCAGCTGCGGAAAGAGCTGCAGGAACTCAAGGACCTGGTGTGAGATGCAACATGGGGTAAGCATGGAGGCAGAGGCAGGGGCACAGCTGTGTGTGTGTGTGTGTGTGTGTGTGTGTGTGTGTGTGCACGCACACACACACACAACACACTTTCTCCCTTCACCTTGGTCCACAGAGACTCAAGAACAGCATGGGGCTGGGGCCCGGGAATGTCCTCTGGCACCTGTGGCTCCAGTTACAGCGTAGCAAAGCACAGCCTGGAGACTTTGGCCTTGCACATTCGGACTGGAACAGGAAGGCTGTGTCAGAAAAAAGGTCATCCAGGGCTCAGTCTCGCATCACAAGGGTGGTCCATGCCTGTTCCCAAATGCTGCCATGTGTGGGTCTCAGACTGGAGACAGAGTCCTTGGGGTTAGTTCCCGAAGGCATCTGGTGATGAGGACAGTGGTGCACACCTGTGAGCCTGCCTACTTGGAAGGCTGAGGCAGGAGGATCACAAGTTCCACACCATCCTGAGCAACATAGCAAGACCCTGTTTCAAAAAGGAAAAAGAGGGCATAAGCGCTCAGTGGCATAAGCGCTTGCCTGGCAAATATAAGGTCCTGAGTTCGATTTCTGGTACCAAAAATAAAAATAAAAAAAAAAGCACTGATCCAGAGTGGTGCTGTGGAAGTGCAGATTGCTCAGTAGACACATAGCTGGATGTTTTTTCCGGAGGGCTCTGTGTTCAAACTTCTGGCTGTCCTTGGTGGCTTCGCACACTTCCAACCAATCTGGTTCTTATGTATCTCTGAAAAAGAAGGCCAAGGGGCTCAAACGGGGGCCGACCCCACCCCCATCACCAGCAACAGATTCCCAAAACCAAGGGTTCTAGCAGAGAGGAGTTGGGATGTCTGCTTCATGGACTCACCTCTAGAGCAATCTAGGGGGAAAGTCTCAGCTGTTTGATGTGGGGTTTGTACCTTTTCTGGTCTCCTCCTTCCTTGAAGAACAACATAGGATGGAGAGAAGGAAGAGTTTGAGAGGAAATGTTGCAATTAACAGAGAGGCTCTCCACTGGACTCAGTGGCACATGAATGTTGTAATCTCAGCCCTGAGGGGAGACTGAGGCAGGAGGGTCACTATGAATTCGAGGCCAGCCTGGGGAACATAGTAAGACCCTGTCCAAAAAACAATAATAAGGAGGGAGGTCTGAAAAGCTTTTCTTGAGAGACTGAGCACAAGGAAGGCTTCTGGCTCCTGTGCTTGGGGACATATCTCACTTCCGAGCACCACCATTACTTGGGAAACACACAGGATTGGTCTGCCATTCCTAAATGCCGCTTCACCCCTTGAAATAATCTCTATGAGCTCATTCTTTACATTTTTAATTTTTTATTTTGTGGTATAAGGATGGAACTCACAACCTTGTGCTTGCCAGGCAGGTGCTAATACTGCTGAGCTAAATCCCTGGCCTCCTTCAATCTTTTTTTTTTTTTGGTCTTTTTTGTGACGGGCTCTCGCTATGGGGTTCAGGCTGGCCTTAAGCTCACTTTATAGCTCAGGTTGGTCTTGAACTTGCAATGATCCTCCCACCTCAGCCTCCCGTGTGCTGCTGGGATTACAGGCGTGAGCCACTACGTTCCGATTTTTTTTTTTTTTTTGTCTTTTTGAGACAGGGTCTTGCTATGCAGTTCAGGCTGGCTTTGAACTCACTTTGTAGTCTAGGCTGGTCTCAAACTCATAAATGATCCTCCTGCCTCAGCCTCCTGAGTGCTGGGATTACAGGCATGAGCCACCATGCCCAGCATCTTCTTCATTCTTTAACAGGGATTTTGTTGTTGTTTTGTTTTGAGACAGGTTCTCACTCTATAACTCAAGCTAGCCCTGAAGTTGGTGATCCTCCTGTCTCAGCCTCCCAAGAGCTGGAATTACAAGTGTGCTCAACCATGCCCAGCTCAGGCGTCAATGTTACATACATACAGCTTTGAGACAAATCACCTAGTCCCAGGCCAGGGATATAGCTCAGTGATACAGTGCCTACCTTGCAAGCACAAGGTCCTGAGTTGGATTCCCCATACCAAAAACAAAAACAAAACCAATCACCTAGTCCCTAAGACACTCTAGCAAGTTACTAAACATCTGTAAGTCTTAGGATGCTTGTGTCTAAAATAAGAACTCAGCCTACAGCATAGGGTTGTTGTGATTATTAAATGATAGTAATGTCAAAAAAATACACAACATAATGTCCAGCAATTTATGATTTTCTTTTCCTTGGCAAGAGTAGTCCAAAGGTAAACTTAGAATTTGAGGTAAAATTCACCCATGGAGCCAGGCGTGGTAGCACACACCTGTAATCAAAGCACAGGGAGGCTGAGGCAGGAGGATCACTGCAAATTCAGGGCCAGCCTGGGCTACCATAGCAGGATCCTGTCTCAACCCTGCACCCCAGCAAAACGTACCTGCGGAACCCCTCCCTAGCTCATCCTCACTTTCTCTTCCTGTTCTACCCCAAAGAACAAGTCAGGGAGGGGCTGGGGGCTCAGCGGCATAAGCACCTGCCTTGCAAGCGGCGGTGAGTTCGATCCCGGAACCGATAAAAAAGAAAAAGACAAAAAAAAATAAAAAAGAACAAGTCAGGGCAGCTTTGGCCCCTCTCTGGTATAACCTGAAGTCCTCATACCCTGAGGCTCTGGGTGGGGTGGGGGGGGTCCAGGCTGGCCTGGGATTCAAGAGGGCGGGGCAGGGAGCTTGCCCCAGGGCATGGCTGTGTCCTGAGTTCCTGGTCATCGTAGGGTTTCTGTCCCCCTTGGACACAGTCACCTGGACTGACAGGTTCCTGGCTGGGTAGTTCCTTGGTGACAAGGGAGGGGGATGGGAAGGCATGGACTGGGAGGCCTGACCTGTTTTGGGGAGGACCTGTCTCAGTGGGTCAGAGAGCTGGCCTGGGTTATAGGCCTCTCTGGGCCTGCACAGGGCAGCACCTGATTACTGTGGACAAACTGCAGGGAGGAGCCTAAGGTGCAACATGCCTTCCCCGAGCACTCTCGGGCTCCTCCACACCCGCCACCGTCCCATAGTCACAGGCCTGTGAGCCCTGTCCTGCCCTCTGAATTCACCACCATCCCCCCGCCCCCCCCACCCGCCCGTGGCAAATCCACCCGTGCTGCTCAGGCCTGCGCCCGCACACTGAGGAACTCAAGGGGAAGTGTGTGCGGTGCTGGTCCAGGGCTGGGCCCATGCCTCCCTGGGCTGGCTGTTTGATTTGAGAGAGTGTGTGTGTGTGTGTGTGTGTGTGTGTGTATGTGTACGCGCGTGCGCGTGTGCATGTGTGTGTAGTGGACTAGAGGCAGCATGATGCCATATCCCTGTAATCCCAGCTACTTGGGAGGCTGAGGCAGGAGGATCACAAATTTAAGGCTGGTTTGAGCAATTTATCAAGATCAGGCCACAAAAGAAGAAAAAACAAAAAAACTAATTTGAAGGGCCAGGGAGATAGCTCAGAGGCACAGTGCCTGCCTGGCAAGTGTGAGTCCTGAGTTGAATTCTCAGGGTCACAAACAAAACAAAACAAAAAACTAATCAGGGATGTAGCTCAACAGCCCTATGTCCAGTCTCCAGTACACCCAGCATGCAGACACAAAAGGAAGGAAAAGCAAGAGAAAAAGAAGAGGAAGAAGCAGTGGAAAAAGATGATGATGACCATAGGGTGGATAGCGGGAATGCCCAACTGGTGGGAGGAGGAGGAGATATACTGATTGGTTTAAAAATTAAAGTCAAGGGCTGGGGATTTAGCTCAACGGCATAAGTACCTGCCTTGTAAGCAGACGGTCGTGAGTTCGATCCCTGGTACCAATAAAAAGGAAAAAGACAAAAAAAAAAAAATTAAAGTCAAGCTGGGCATGGCACCACACGCCTGTAATTCCAGCACTTGAAAGGCAGAGGCAGGAGGATTGTCTAGAGTTCAACCTCGGTCTGAACTGCATAGCAAGATTTTGTCTCAAAAAAAAAAAAAAAAAAAAAAAAAAAAAAAAAAGATTAAAGTCCTATAAAACTGGCCCTGGCACTGGCTTGTAATTCCAGCACTTGGGAGGCTGAGGCAGAAGGACTGCCATGAGTTCCAGGCCAGCCTTGGCTACATAGTGAGACCCTGTCTCAGAAAGAAAACAGAAAACAAAGGAGGGGCCCTGGTAAAGTGCAGAGGAAGATGCCTCCATCTTGAGGCATAGCTGGCCCCTCCTGGACGTTTGACTGGGTCTGGACTGCAAAACCACCCAGCCTCTTGCAGAGAGCCAGGCTGGTGTACCCTCTGTGCCCTCCTCCTCCTCATACTCATATGGGGTGGGGCAGCCTGGACCTCTGCTTCAGAAAGATAGTCTCTTGCAGCATCGGGGTAGGGGCAGGGCAGTTGGCCCCAGAGGCCTCAGGGACGGGAGGGGAAGTGGGTGGTGCCAGTTGGGCTAGGGCTGTGGGGATGCTGCTGGGGACCCTGACTCTGAGCCTGGCCCTGGCCCTAAGACAGAAGGTCCTAGAGAGAGCTGGCAGCACCAGACAGGGCCACTGGGCCCCTGGCTGTCCCTGCACCATCCAGTGGGAGGAGGGAGCGAGGGTGGAGGCTGAGCAGAGAACCAAATTTTCCTGAAAAGCCTCTTTCGTGTTTGTCCTGGCCCCTCCAGATCCCTCCCACACTCCACTGCTGCTTCCCAGCTTGTGGTCCAAGGGCCAGGGCGGCCCTTTCTTGCACTGGAACAAAGCTGCTCCAGGGAGCCTATCTTCTGCTGGGAGTCCAGGGTCAGTAGTCAACCTTAGCCAGGACCTTGCTGTGCTCCCAAGGCTGGTCTCAAACCCCTAGCTTCAAGGAGTCTCTCTCCTGTCTCTCTTTCTTTTCTTGCTTTTTTGAGACAGGGTCTTGCTATGGCCTGGAGCTCAGCTTCCTAAGTGATGGAATTATAAACATGTGTCACTATGCCCAGTCATATTACATCCTCTGCTGCCTCCTCAGTGCCTGCTACATTTTCCAGGCTGCCCCTGGAGTGGCTCATGACTTAAGGGGGACTTCCTAGAGGAGAAACTTCCCAGAAATACTGGGGCCAAGGAGAAGCTGACAGGAGGAAAGGGGCTCAGCCTCACCCAGCTCCAAGGGCGTGCCTGTCTCTGTATGGCTCCAGCCTAGAAGAGGACAGACCTCTGCTTGAGGCTTGGAACCTGTTTTTCACCCCTGAGTCTACTGCTGCTCTGAAGGGAGATGCTGGCTGACATTTTTCTTTTGCATTTCAGAGAACTGAGCCCAGAGACTTCACACTGAGCTACATCTCTGGCTTTCACTTCTTCTTTTAAATCTTTTTTTTTTTTTTTTTGGTACTAGAAATCGAACTCAGGACCTTCAGCTTACCCGGAAGGTGCTAGGTTTTGCTAAGACACTAAATTGTGGAGGTTGGGCTTCAAGTTGCCATCCTTCTGCCTCAGCCTCCCACGGTGCTGAGATGACAGATGTGCACCACCATGACCACTTTAGACGCTGGCCACTTGTAAGCCCTGTCCAGTGGGTCCTTGGGTCATCTCCTCATCATCTCTGTGATGCTCAAAGTGGAGCAGTGAACCTAGCAATGAACGTCTGTGGGTAGTTATTTCGGCAAAAGGGGGAGGGTGAAGAGGGTCTCCCGGTCCCCTCTGAGGTGGGCTCTGTGGAATCCAGCATTAGAGGCAGCACTCTCCCCAGGCCCCTGCCTCAGCGCTACCCCATCAGGTTAGGGCCTGAAAGCACTTTCACCACCAAGTTCTCCACTGCTGTCCTTTTTAAGTTCCCAGACAAAGGGAAATGACTCACCCCAAAGTCACCTCGACTGGGTGGGGGTGGTGTCACACAAGCAACGGGGGAGTCCCCTGGGGACATCCTCACCTCCGGACACGCCTTTCTCTCTGGGTATCTCCCTAAATGGAGCAGAAGCAAAAGCGGGTCACACTGCTTTTCTGGGGCTGTGTCACAAGGCAGCTTCAGCACCCTTCCTCCCCCGCGTCTCTGCGCCTGTGTCGCCAGTGACTTCGGGGCCAGGTCAGTCTTGCCATCACGTGAACTCATGTTTGCAAGGTTTGCAGAAAAGGGCTGCTAGCTTTGATCTCTCAGAGCAGCCGAGCTTTCCAATAATCCCTGCCCGGGAATTCACATGCCCCTGCCACACAGGGGTCCAAACACGCCACTCTTAACTCTCCGGCGCACCCCACCCGAAGCTGCTCTCAGCTCCTCCCCGCAGCCGGCAGGCTCAGGGCAGAAAGGGAAAACAGCCTCGATCCGCCCACTTTGTCTGTGGACTACAAATCCCGGCAGCCCGCGCGACGCGCAGGCGCCCACGAGGCTCAACGTGCCGACTGCTGGAAAAGTGTGTCACTGGGGCACGAGGCGCTCCCTGGGATCACATGGTACCTCCTCCAGTGCCGCGTGCGGCCCGGGAACCCTGGGCTGCTGGCGCCTGCGCAGAGGCCTCTGTCTCAGGGAAAGGCTCAGGCAAAAGGCGGCTGAGATTGGCAGAGTGAAATATTGCTGCCGGGGAAACGTAGCAGAGCACACGTCTCTCCCTTTGCGCCTGGGTGCTCCGTTTCTCCCATCACCTACTTCCTGGTTGCAACCTCTCTCCCTCTGTGACTTTTGCACCGGGAGCTTCAGATTCGCTACGCTGCAGCGCTGCAGTGGCACCCGGTGCACTGCAGAGACCCGACCCTCCTCGCTGCTTCCACTCGGAGGAGCTGCGGGCTGCTGGTTCTCCCTTGCAAAGCAGAGCTCCGCGGCTGTCTCCGCATCTGACCTCTCTGCAGAGCTGCAGTCGGCCACCCCGAGAGCTTGCGGCTGAGGGATACCCCGGATCCTGATTGAGAGTTTCAGGGTCCCTTCCCCGCTCTCAGCCAGTGCCTGCCCAGCAGGGAACAGCGGCAAGCGTAGTCTCCAGTTTGCTTGGAGTTCCGGTTTGAATGACCGCTGTCGACCAGTGAAGACATGACGACCCTGGACTCCAACAACAACACAGGTACGCGATTCCTTCGCTGTCACTCTCTCTGCTTGGTCACTGTTACCTGGCTTCCATCGGTTCCTCATAACCAGAAGGGCTTAGTCAGGACTTGTAAACTGCTTCTGCCTCGGGATTTGCCAGGATGCAGAGGGTCCCTCGGGTGGGGGATGCGCCCTTGTGAAGCGCACCCACCATCAGACCCCTAAAGCTCTCCTGAGCCTGCAGGACCTGAATTCCAGGACAAGAGGAAATGCAGATCGGATACGGGAGTGAGCTGAAGTTTAGGGGGACGAGGCTGTGGAGCTGTGCCCTGAAACGGCTCGGCTCCATCTGTCCACCCCCTGCAGCTCTGGACCGCCTCCCTCCTGGTGCCCCTGCCTTTACTTTCCCAGGGTTTAGGGAATCTGACAAACAGTGGGGTGAGTGGGACAGGAGGGCTGAGGACACGGGTTGTATCTCACGGGGGAATCCTCAGTGACACTCGGAGTGGCACTCTGAAGACTTCGGAGCTCGGTGCTTGGCCGGGGAGGGCACCCACAGCGCCAGCTCCAGAGCGCTCACATGGCCGCGGAGCCGGGGCCACGTGCTGCGTTTGTTTTCATTCAGCAGAAGCCATGGTCACCACCCCATTGGTCGCAGCCCGCCGGCCCCGTTACATAATGAGCTCCACCCCCCGGTTGTCCCGGCAACGCGTGTTCCGTCTTTTACTCCCCTAGGTTGTCCCAGCCCAGCCTGAGATCTGGGCTGGGCCCAGACCTAGGACGCCTGGGGAGGGGAGGGGCGGGCGGAAGCGGGTGGGGCTGCGGCTGGGGACGGGGTGGCGCGGAGAAGGCGGGGCATCCAGCTCCGGGGTTCCTCGTTGGGGAGCCACGTGCGAGGGGCACACGTGCAGCAGGGACGTGAGGCCGGCTGAGGGCTGGGCTCCCGCCCCACCCTGCCCAGCAGAGATCTAGGTGAAGCGGGCTGACTCACTGCCCCCTCTTGCCTCCTCTTCCTGCCAGCCTGGACCCTGCACCCCATCACCCAGTGAGAGGAGCCACCCCTGACCTCTCTTGGCCTCATATTTACGTGTTTACGCTTCCCCAAAAGACACAAGTAACCACCCTTCTCCTGACCCTTGCCCCTTTGCTGTGTTCATTTTGCACCTACTTCCCTGGACTGCTTTTGGCCCCAGTTTCTTCCCCACGTTCCCAATTCTCCCCATTACCGAAGCACCTCTTTCTTTCACCCTGCAAGAAAGCAAAACAGGCCCAGAGAGGGGATTTGATTCCTCCTGGGTCACAAAGCAATTTGCCAGTGATAAATGAGGAATAGCCTTTTTTTTTTTTGGAACCTGGGATCAAACTCACGACCTCACACTTGGCAGCAGGTGCTTATACCGCTGAGCTAAATCCCCTGCCCAAGGAATAGACTTTTTTGGGGGAGCTGTTTGGCTTCAAAGTGGAAGTCCGGTTGGATGAAGGTCTTCCTCCCCTTTGGGGGGGGCGTGGATAAACTAGGTCAAGTTCACTTACCACTGGTTCCACGTCCCATCCTCCACTTTGGCCGTGAAATTATAGGAGCTAATCTGTTGTGCAACTGTTTTACAGGGTGCTGGGTTCACCCTGACCAACCTTGAGCTATTTTAAGGCTGCCCTGCCCAGTGGAGTGTGTCAGTGGGTGAGCGAGACATGTGCCTCTGCAGACATGGTGGCATGGCATGTGTCAGATCACACGTGTCCCTGGGAGCCTTCCTTCTCCCCCACAACCTCTGGCAAGCCAGACTAGGTGCTTGGCAGGGGTGTGGCGGGCAGGTCACCTCTTAGTTCTGCTATTGCCACGGGAGCAGAATGCATGGTTGGCAGTGTACCCAGAGGGCCAAAGTCCTTGAGTTGCCAGAAAACCAGAGTTGTCACCAGGCTGAGACCAGGAAAGGGAAATTACAGAACCAGAGGCAGGACAGTTTGTATTTCTCCTGCTGCTGCAGCTATCCTCCTCCCCGGATGCAGAGGTAGAGTCCCCAGCCACTCATCTCTTGGAGTCCAGGGGACCCAGGCTGGGCTGCCTCCCCCCTGCAGCAGCATCTGAGAGCCCGGCTCCTGGTTTAGAGAGGACATGATATTTCTTTTGGAAACTGTCTGTTCTTTTCCCTGGTGGTTGGCCATCCCTTCCTCTCCACGGTCTCATACCTGGAATGATCTTGATGTTCAATCTGGCAGCCAATTCTTGTTTTAGAGGACTGGGCACTGTGAATGGGAACCTAGCTGCCCATCCTGTCCAAACAGCCCTAGGTCTGCCACTGACAGCTAAGTCATTGTTGTGACAGTCTCATCCCTTAGGAAAGCGTCCAGAACGGGATGTGAGATGACTGTGGGGGTCACGCCTCACACCCAAAGAAGCTGCTGTATTGTGCAAGACAGCATCATGGGGTTGGCCATGCTGGGTCTAGTGTTTGTTGGGCTGCTGCTTACTGTGAGTAGCTTGGTGTGGCCAAGTCTAATGTGCTGGGAATTATTTACCATACTTAGATGTCAGCCACAGTAGGTCTAGGATGTGTCAGGGAGCTTCTTATTAACTCCAAAGCCAGGGGTTCTGCAGGGTTAACTTCTAACAGGAGCAGTGTTTTGGGAATGAGCACGGTGGTACCCCCTAGTATCAGAGACAAGGTGGCGAACGTGCCCTTTTCCTGTGTTCTGCCAGGTGGTGTCATCACCTACATCGGTTCCAGCAGCTCCTCCCCAAGCCGAACCAGCCCTGAGTCCCTGTACAGTGACAGCTCCAATGGCAGCTTCCAGTCCCTGACCCAAGGCGGCCTCACCACCTACTTCCCACCCTCGCCCACCGGTTCCCTCACCCAGGACCCAGCTCGCTCCTTTGGAGGCATCGCACCCAGCCTGAGCGAGGATGGTTCCCCCTCTTCCTCCTCTTCCTCGTCTTCATCCTCCTACAATGGGAGCCCCTCGGGGAGTCTGCAAGTGGCCGTGGAGGACAGCAGCCGAGTGTCCCCCAGCAAGAGCACCAGCACCATCACCAGTGAGTCACTGTGGCTGGGGCTGGTTGTGGGACTTGGAAGACCTTGGGGACTTCTCCAGAATTGCACTAACCCCTGTCCAGCACAGTCTGGTCATTTCAGGGCCCCCAGATTCTGGAGCGCCTCCTTGGTCCTTCCTGCTTTTGGTGGGGTCTTATCACAGGAAGCCTCCCGTGTCCTGAGGCACTGATGGGCCTCTTCCCCTCACTTCCCCAGAACTCAACGGCATGGTGCTCCTGTGTAAGGTGTGTGGGGATGTAGCCTCCGGCTTCCACTATGGTGTGCACGCCTGTGAGGGTTGCAAGGTGAGGCACACAGGGCAAGGGCAGGACAGGGCCGGTGACCTCCACCTGGGACACTGCCAGGCCTACTGGAGACACTCACTGGCTACCCCTGCCCTCTCCTCTCCTCCAGGGCTTTTTCCGTCGCAGCATTCAGCAGAACATTCAGTACAAAAGGTGTCTGAAAAACGAGAACTGCTCCATCATCCGCATCAACCGCAACCGCTGCCAGCAGTGTCGCTTCAAAAAGTGTCTCTCCGTGGGCATGTCTCGAGACGGTGAGGCAGCACCTCGTCCTCTTTTCACCTTCCGCCCAGCATCTGACTCCATCTCTCTTCAAAGGATGGTTCCATGCTGAGATGCGGGGTGCCGGGATGAATTTCCTTTTGCCTGGAGGATGCCCTGGTGGTATCCTCTTGGGTAAAATCATTCTTGTCTCCCATTGGTTGGTTCCACTGGCCCCGCCCATTGGCAGGCCTACTTGGAAACCCCTGAGTAGATATGGCCTGCTGGTGTTTTTGGGATGCCCAATGGGCCTGGCCTTCAGGGTCTTGCCCCTTTGCAGGGGAAGGAAGAGATGCGTGCGTGCGTGCGTGCGTGCTTGTGTGTGTGCCACTTCCTGACACAACTCTCATCCTGTTGCAGCTGTGCGTTTTGGGCGTATCCCCAAACGAGAGAAACAGCGCATGCTGGCAGAGATGCAGAGTGCCATGAACCTAGCCAACAACCAGTTGAGCAGCCAGTGCCCGCTGGAGACCTCACCCCCCCAGCACCCCACCTCTGGCCCCCTGGGCCTCTCGCCATCTCCTGCTGCGGCCCCCTCCCCCCTGGTGGGCTTCTCCCAGTTCCCACAGCAGCTGACACCGCCCAGATCACCCAGCCCCGAGCCCACAGTGGAGGATGTGATATCCCAGGTGGCCCGGGCCCATCGAGAGATCTTCACCTATGCCCACGACAAGCTGGGAACCTCACCGGGGAACTTCAACACCAACCACGGGTTGGGTAGTCCAGCTACCACCCCACAGCGCTGGGAGAGTCAGTGCTGCCCTCCTGTCCCCAATGACAACAATGCCTCTGCCATCCAGCATCACAACGAGGCCCTAAATGGTCTACGACAGCCGCCTTCCTCCTACCCTCCCACCTGGCCGTCCGGCTCTGCCCCTCACAACTGCCACCAGCCCAACAGCAACGGGCACCGACTCTGCCCCCCCAACATGTTTGCAGCCCCAGAAGGGGAGGTTCCTGCCAGCAGTCCCCGACAAGAGGGCTCCAAGAACGTCCTGCTGGTGAGGGCACTGGGGCACAGATGATGCACGACTGCCTGGGAACCCCTCATCTCCACCTCACATCTGGTGCTCTGTTCCACGAATGACCTGTTTCTGGGGCCAAAACCCCCAGTCCCCAGGCCAGCCTTGCAGGGATCCACCTATCCAAGCTGGCCTGGCTGACACCCTCCCCACACCACTTTCTCCCCAGGCGTGCCCCATGAACATGTACCCCCACGGTCGCAGCGGCCGGACCGTGCAAGAGATCTGGGAGGATTTCTCTATGAGCTTCACGCCTGCTGTGCGAGAGGTAGTTGAGTTTGCCAAGCACATCCCAGGCTTCCGTGACCTTTCTCAGCATGACCAGGTTACCCTGCTGAAGGCTGGCACTTTCGAGGTGAGTGACCTTTGTGTTCCCTGTGCTTGACCTTGGGAAGAATGGGTGGGGGGGGTTGGCTTCTTGCAGTGGGCAGAGATTCTGAGGGACCAGGGAACCCCAGGATGTGATGGTGGGGGCAGGTCACCTTGTCCTCACACCACTAAGGGGCCTGGGGCTGTAATCTCAGCTGGTGTCTGGTTGCAACGCATGACAAGAAGATAAAGCCCTGCAGTACATCGCTCCCCCCTTCTAAAAGAATCTATCTGGAGTCACTGGGTGCTCCCCTTCCTTCCTGGAGGCAGCAGCGCTAAACCCTCTGGGGAACTTCGGGGTGCTTTGGCAGTGGTTCATCCCACCTCACTGGAATCACTGCCTCAATTCAGGTGCTGATGGTGCGTTTCGCGTCGCTCTTCAACGTGAAGGACCAGACCGTGATGTTCCTGAGCCGCACCACCTACAGCCTGCAGGAGCTGGGCGCCATGGGCATGGGAGACCTGCTGAGTGCCATGTTTGACTTCAGCGAGAAGCTCAACTCCCTGGCGCTCACCGAGGAGGAGCTGGGCCTCTTCACCGCTGTGGTGCTGGTCTCAGCAGGTAGGGGAAGCTCAAGCCGGAGCCAGCAGGAGGCAGACGCAGTTGGATTGAACACACCTTTTATGGAGTACCTACTCTATGCCAGGCCCCGCGCTGGGCACTGGGGATACAGACAGGACCGAGACACAGTCTAGCTTGGGAAACACTCATGCCCGACTAATTATAAAACAGATCAGTGTCACAGTAGAAACAAGAACCAAAGGAGCACAGACAACTATTTCTGCCTGGGGGAGCTGGGAAAGATGGTGACACTCCAGTGGGGCCTCCAAGGACAAGGAAGATACTGGCAGGCAGAGGGGGGCGGGTAGGGCATCCCAGGCAGAGGGGACTACAGAGCAAAAGGTGAGGGTGTCCGGCCACCATGCATGCAGGAGGAGACTGCTGGTGGCCTGGGAGGAGGAGGTGTGTGACCCGGCTCCTCCTCCTCCTCCTCCTCCTCTTCTTCCTTCCTGCAGGCCCCTGGGGTGGGGGCTTCAGGGAGAGGCTGCTGAGCCTGCGGGGTCCATGCAGCCCTCCGGGCTCTCCTCCTCCTCCTCCTCCTCCTCCTCCTCCTCTTCCTCCTCTTCCTCCTCCTCCTCCTCCTCCTCCTCCTCCTCCTCGGAGGCACTCGGGGAGCCTGCCTCACTGCTGTCATCATCCCCACAGACCGCTCGGGCATGGAGGACTCCGCTTCGGTGGAGCACCTCCAGGAGACGCTGCTGCGGGCTCTTCGGGCTCTGGTGCTGAAGAACCGGCCCTCGGAGACGTCCCGCTTCACCAAGCTGCTGCTCAAGCTGCCGGACCTGCGGACCCTGAACAACATGCATTCCGAGAAGCTGCTGTCCTTCCGGGTGGACGCCCAGTGACCCGCCCGGCCGGCCTTCTGCCGCTGCCCCCTTGTACAGAATCGAACTCTGCACTTCTCTCTCCTTTACGAGACGAAAAGGAAAAGCAAACCAGAATCTTATTTATATTGTTATAAAATATTCCAAGATGAGCCTCTGGCCCCCTGAGCCTTCTTGTAAATACCTGCTCCCCTCCGCCCCCCAGGCCCCAGCTTCCCGGTCTCCCCTATTTAAACGGCTCTGGCTCTCCCACCCGGTCCCTGGCCCTCCCCTCCAATTTGCTCTGTTCCTGTCTCAAATCCAATAGTTCACAGCTGAGCTGGCTTCTGTGGTGTGTGCTGTTTGGGGGTGGGTGGGGGCGAAAATATTGCCAAGTCTGGGGGGTGGGATGGGGTGGGGGGACCCCTCTCCATCTGGTCAGTTTGAGGGCGGCAGCTTGGCCAGGAGAGGGAAGGCTGTAGGGAAACAGCACACAAATCTAAGGGGGTGCCCGAGGGGGATATTTTCATCATATATTTATTACATAAATATATAGTAAAATAGACGAGCAACAATTACCATAAAAATATCTTTCTTTAAAATCCTGACCCAAAACAAACGGGGTGAAAAATCGCACATAACAGACATACTGATTGTCAACGTGGGGCAGGAGTAGGAGCCCCTTAAGTCACCCCTCCCAGCCCCCCCTCCCTGGGGAAGGGACCCTCCCTCCCCCCACCCCAGCACCAGCTTCTCGAACATTCAGTAGCGCCTCTGGGCAGTGTCCCCATCCCCCCACCCAGGGGAGCCCAGGGCAGGAAGTACTGTCCCCCTTATGGACGGTGTCTGTGTTACCCGCCCTGCCCTCTCCCAGCCCTGCAGACCCGTGCCACCCAGGGGAGGGGGGAGGGTCTCCCCGCCCTCCCCATGTCTGAGCAGAGGGGAGGCTGGATGAGGTATGTGTGTTCTAAGTGATGGGAAGGGCAATACTGAGATGGAGAGGCGGGGTGGGGGTGGGGTAGTGGTCATAGTTCTGGCACCCCCTTGTCCTGGCCTGGCCCCACAACCTCTTCCCAGTGACCAGGCCTCCCAGCGGTACTGCACTGGCTGCCCCGCCCTGCCTGCCCTAGTGCCCTGGGCCAACACTGGAGGAGGCGTGCGAAGCACCCACAGCAAGGTCATCCCCCTCCTTAGCACCGATGGCCCCCAGGAGAGGGCCCTGTCCCTAACTCCACAGCAGGGGCTGGGACAGCTGCCTCGCTAGAGCAGGTGTGTGGCACTCCTGAGTCTCCTGGCGCCCCCCAACCCGTGTACTCACGCACACATTCACACAGAGAAACGCGCACATACACCCCGCATCACTGGGAGGAGGGGAGGGCGGGGGCAGGGCAGGGGTCACAGCTCATGTGATTGGGGGGACGGGGATTCCCAAGTGCCTAAGAGGCCAGCATATCCATAGCTAAAGTGGGGACGGGGCAGGTGGGAGGACACAGCAGACAGGTCAGGAACCCCACTGGGGCCCTGGGTGCAGAGGACGGGGTGAGCCTGGCCATGGACCAGAGGATACAGGATCAGTGCCCCAGGAGAGGGGAAACAGACAAGACAGCAAGGGGGCTGGCCCCCGAGGGTGGGGCAGGCACATGCACGGATGACATGATGTTCCCAGGCCCTGGCTGGGCCAGAACACCTGATAGGGAGAGGGGGACACTGCCCAGGCTGGTGGCATGGCATTACCTTCCGTGTGTGTGTGTGTGTGTGTGTGTGTGTGTGTGTGTGTGTGTAGGGGGCTGTGGCAGGCTGAGGGTCAGAGTGGAGTGGCAGGTTCCCCACTGCTTAAGACATTTGTGCCCCAATAGTGCAAAGCGCAGGAAGCCCTGACACCCCTCCCCCGCCCCCACCCGTTCCCCATGGCTTCCGGGGGCATCTGCGTCCACCCATCCATCCCTGCCGACGCATGCAGCCCTGAGCCCAAGGCCCTCCTGTCTGCTCTGTCCCCAACCTTCCTCCTCCCTCCCAGTCTCCCCAGAGGAGTGGGCTTTGGCCAGAAGGAGGGCAGGAGGGGGGCAGCACCCCAAAGTGCAGACCGACACAGCCCTCCTGAACAGGAGGGGGGGGTGCTCAAGCCAAAGTCCCTGAATTAGAGAAGAGAGGGGAAGGGTTGGGGGGCAGAGTGGCAGCTGGCCTAAAGAGCTTCAAACAGGACAGGAGGGTTGCCCACTGCCTCTGCCCCGGCCGCAGAGCAGAGCTGTAACACCCCTCTTCCGTGTGGCCCACCCTGGGCTGGGCTAGTGTCTTGAAGGGGATGGGGAAGAGAACAAGGGGGTCAGAGGGAGCCCAGGAGGAGGGTGAGGTGCAGGTGCTGGGAGCCACTCACACACACACTCCCCAGCAGCATTTGGATTGTAGGTAATACTGCAGTCTGTGAGGTGGGAAGGGGCCGGGCGGCCGTTCTTCCTGTGTGGGTGCCAAGGTGGGGAACAAGGTGGTCAGTGTGGGGGACCTCTGGGGCTGGGCACTTGAAAGGGGGAGCTGTGCGGGCAGCAGGGCAGGCTGGTGAGGGCCAGCTGGCATCCAGCGTGAGAGGTAGATGGAACTCAGCGGGCACGAGTGGCAGAGAGCAGAGGAAGTACTGGGGCAGGGGTGGGGGACAAGGGGGTGGCCAGGACCCTGTCGTGTTGACTCACAGCTCTGACAGGCAGCCAAACCCCTGGGGAGGGGATACATTGGGGCATCTGTCTCGGATCTACGGGGGCAGCTCTCAAAGTGCATGGGGTGAGGAGGACAGGTCCTCCCCTCTGGCCAGCCTCAGTTAATAACTTAATATCATCTCTCTGTCACTCGCTCTTTTTGTCTTTTTCTGTCTAGCTTTTCTTCATTTATCTTCTCCCCTCACTTGGTTTCCAAAGTGCAGTTAGGATGACTGTCATCTTTAACCTCCGGCAGAGGAGGAGCAAAGCCCAGCCCAAGATGTCCTCTGTGCTCAGGGGCCTGGGGAAACTGAGGCCCTGAGCCTGGAGGGGAAACCTTGGCCGAAGGACCACTAGGACCCTCTCCTGCGCGACGGCACAATCCCCAGCCACACTCCTCCTTTCCCTACTGTCAGGTCGCATGGCTTGTCCCGTCCCTCTGAGTTCTCTGTACCTTCCCCACTTCTCACAGGATGGGGCTCCCAGGAACTGTGGGACCCAGGTCCCAGCCTCCCAACTATCCTTTCATAGCAAGTTCATCTGAGCGCCCTGTCCCAGGGCTGGAGGTTCTGGGGGACCTGGGCAGTGCAGGGGGGCGGGAGGGGGGTGTGCGTGGGAGCTGCATCTATCCAAGGATGAGAGGGAGGAGAGAGGAGGTGGGGGTCTCCCTGGGCCCCCAGCTGGGCCCCTCCTCTCCGGGCTCCTCCCTGCCAGCTCTGCACACCCTCTGGCCGCCTGAGGCTTTAGACTTCCTGATCCTCAAAGACCTCCAGGAAGAGAGGGGGGAAGAGCTCGGTGGGGCACTCGACTTTCATGTGAAGGAAGCGGCTGGCGTGGCAGGCCCCGATCATGCGGAGGTCAGTCACCTTCATCAGCAGCTTGGGCCAGAAGTGCGGAATGTTGTGTTTGCGGTGGTTGACGTAGTGCTCGAACGCCAGCAGGTATGCCTCCTGGCTCTTCTCTATCTTGTCCACGCACAGCAGGCCCGAGCGGTCTGTGGGGGAGGCAGGGAGGCATGAAGGGCGTGCGGGAAGGGCCAGGGAAGCCATGGCGTGACGTGTGGGGTGAGGATGCATGAAAGGGACAGTGCTGCGGGGGGGAGACTAAGGCAGAGAGGAGAGTTGGCAGTCGGGTTGGGCGTGGTGGCACACAGTTGTTCGTGAGGCCATTCTGGGCTGCATGGTTGCAGGCAGGATGACACAAGGAGACCTTGCCTCAACCTCCTGTTCCCTAAACGAGGGGTCGGTGGTCAGGGAGGTAGGGTGGGAATGAGGGTCAAAAGAAGGTGAAGTGGACAAGAGGTGGGATTGAAAGACAGGGAGGATGGGGTAGAAGGTAGACAGGAACCAAGTGGAGGGAGAGGAACAAAGGGGCTTTGTGGGTGGCAGAGCTGGGGACAGAGAAGGAAACATGGGGCCAAGGAAGGAAAAGAACAGAGTGGGGATGGGCCTGAGGACCTGAGGTGGCAGCAGGGGATAAAGGGTGGCCTAGGTGACAGCCAGGTAGCCTGGGAGAGGGGATGGGACAGACATGCAGGTGGAGGGGACAGAGAGAATCTGCAGCACTTAGGGAGGAGGACAGCAACAGGCCCAGGGCCCCGCCAAGCCCTGGGGGCCCTGGAAGCCTCAGGGTGCCCCCACCCCCAGCCAAGGGGCAGGTACCTGTTGACATTAGCAGCACAGCCTGCAGCAGAGCCACTTCCGTGTCATCCAGGTTAAAGGCAGAGAGTGACTTGCCCAGTTCAAAGATGGCGTCCGAGACCACGCCCAGGCCGCCGTTCTTGAGCTGCTCCCGCTTGACAGCCATCTCCCCACTCAGCGTCAGAGTGTCACTCTCGGGATCATAGCGCACAGCCGCCCGCAGGGACATGATCTCCATGCAGCACCCCTTCAGGAGGATGATCTGGTCTTCACAAGGCAGCTGCGGGAGGCAGGGCCAGGGGGCCACTCAGCATGGCCTGACCATGCAGGCCTCTAAGCCCCCATTCCACAGCCACCTGGTGATCACAGTACCTCCCCAAGGTACAGGGGATCCAGGTGACTCTGGGTAAGTCCCAGTTACAAGGGCGCCTCCTTCAGGGGTTCAGGATGGCCAGGTAGGCTCCAGGGGAGGTGGGTGTGGGGAGCAGGGGTCCTAGGATGGGGGCTGCTCAATGCGTGCGTGTTACATTGCAGCCATGGCTCCCCGTCCAGAGAACTGCGGAGGCATGTGCTGTAGCACGGGGCTGTCCCTCTAGCTCGGCAACATGTGTGTCCCCTCCCACCTGCCACTCACCTCGGAGAACATGGGCAGTTTTTTGGCAAAGTCCACCACGCGGGTGATGGCCGGGGTAATGATCTTGGTAAACTCGCTGAAGGCCTCAAGGTCCACCTTGTCTCCGTCTGGCATGGAGACGATGGGTGACTGGCCAATGTCATCCGGCTAGGGGGGACATTTGGGGTCAGTGGGGGGCTGCAAGACCCCTTTTGACTGCTCACTGAGGCCCCTGCCCACCAGGGGGAGCTCCAAGGTAGCTCGGGGAAGAAGGCCCCCCACAGGCCTGGACCTGAAAGCTGTGTCCCAGCCCTGAGGCTTTTCCTTCAACCTTGGGGCAGAAGATACACCGGAAAGAGCAGAGCGCTCCAAGTCTGCTAATAATAACAGTCGTAAGAATGGTAGTGGCAGCCAGGCGTGCACTCCCAGCACTCAGAGAGGGTAAAACAGGAGGAACATAAGTCTGGAGCCCAGCTGGGAAACACAGTGACCAGTGACCTGTCAAGATCCTGGCCCAAGATGGGTGTGGTGGTACTCAAAGTGCACCTGCAACCCTAGCATGCAGGAGCCTGAGGCCAGAGGATTGCTGTGAGTTCACGACTGGCTCAGACTACATACTGAGGCCCTGTTTCCTGCTCCCCCAAAAAAAGACCCTATTTTTTTTAACTTAGAAAAAAAAATTTTTTTTGTCTTTTTGAGACAGAGTCTCGCTATGTAGTTCAGGTTGGCCTGGAGCTTACTTTGCAGCCCAGGCTGGTCTTGAACTTGCAACAATTCTCCTGCCTCAGCCTCCTGAGTGCTGGGATTACAGGCATGCACTACAATACCCAGCTCAAAACCCCAATAAAAAAAACCCCATACATATATATATACATATATATATATATGGCTGAGGGTGTAACTCAGAATGAAGGGCCTGGATTTAATCCTCAGTACTGCCAAGATAATAATAATAAGCTGTAATGATTGAAAACATGACTAGGCATCAGGTTCCACGTCCTATAAACCTCAGTGGGCCCTCATCACACTCTATGGGAACAAACTCAGCACCATTCTGCACAGCAGGAGACACAGGCCCGCTCCAGCAGGGAAGGATAAGCTGAAGGCCCAGGCCCAGCCCTTCAAAAACCCACCTGCTGGGCTCTGGAGCACATTAAACAGCACTCATTCCACCCTCTGGCTCTACCGCCAGGAGCCAGGCGCCAACGGCCCATCTCCTTCCAGACTGATCATCCGCTTGGCAGGCGGTTCTGCCAGGGCTAACACAATGCCTGAGCCCCAGCAGGTGCTCAGAAATACTGTTACACGACTGTGTCCTCGAGGTCCCCTCCCGGTCATGTGGGCAGGAAATGAGGAGAGGTCACCCCTGGGCTGGAATTCAAGGAGGCTGGCGAAGCCCAGGCCTCCTGGAACGCTGCAAGCTGGACTGGGCAGGACGCATCCAGGTGTGTGTCCTTGGGACCGCAGAAACACAAACACACGAGGGGACCCACTCTGGGACCTCCCCATGTCCGCTCTTCAAGTCCTCACCAGGAATTTCCGCCTCTGCTTCCAATGACTGCCCTGGGCGTTGGTGCTGCGGTGGGCCTCCGTGGCAACGTGGATCAGGTCCCACTCCTCAGGAGTGGGCTCCGGCCGCTGCTGCAGAGACCTGATCATCTCCTCCTTCCGCCGCCGCTCTCGGTTTTGCTCGATCAGCTTTCGCTTGGCCACACGCTTTGAGTCATCCAGAACCACTGTGGACAGAGGGACACAAGGCCAGGGCATGGCACACTTTCTCCTGCTCCGCAGAAGCAGGGTGGGGAAACTGAGGGCCTGACAGACTTGACACCCAAAGGTGCAGGGTATGACCCAGACCGAGATCAACCACCGAGGCCACGTCAACTCCAACCAGCTCCTCTGGAGGAATCTCATGTCCCCATTGTATGGTGACAGGTTACTCAAGGACCCAGCACCAGATCCCCAGCCAATAAAAGATGCCCCCCACCACAAGTGAGTGTCCGCTGTGGGGGAAGGAACACTTCAAGGGTGGCCCTCGGGTGGTGAAGGCCATGGGCGCTAAGGTCCTGGGAGACTGTAGAGGAATCCTTTTGGCTGCCTGCTGGCATTAAGGGAACAGATACTGAGACCCTGACCACCCTGCCCCCAGCCTGAGTGGGACTGGACCATCACTCTGCCCCAAGGGTGCCCTGGAACGGTGCCCCAGCCCCACCCCAGCTGCCCGCATTCCTGGGCCCTGGTCCCTTACGATCCATGGCCATGCCCACAGCGATGCACTTCTTGAAGCGGCACAGCTGGCACTGGTTGCGGGTAATTTTGTCGATGACACAGCAGCTGTCATACTTGCAGGAATAGGTGGGATGGAGGTTCTTCTGGATTGTGCGGCGGAAGAAGCCCTGGGATGGGGGAGACAGTGCAGGTTCTCATCGGCTTCCCGCTGAAGCAACCCCTGCAGTCCACAGGGGTGGAGTGGAGGGGAAATGGGTGAGGGACCTGCCCTCCTCTGATGCCAAGCCCAGGAAGCAAAGAACAGAAGTGCTCTGCCCGGCTCTGAGCGCAGTGGCAGGGAGGGAGAATCGGGGATGGAGTGGTGGGAGGTGCTGCGAGGTTTGAAGGAGGGAACAGCAGCTCTGGAAGCCCACTGCTACCCTACTGCCCATCTAGCGTTCCCACTTGGGGTTCAGTGAGTCTATGCCCCACGCTAAGCTAAATAGGAGGATCAAACGTCAAGAAAAGACATTGCAAATAAACTCTAGGACCTTGGGCCAGGGGTTTAGCTCAGCAACACAAGTGCCTGCTTAGCAAGCATACAAGGTCCTGAGTTCGATCCTCAGTACAAAAAAACAAAAATACAAAAAAACCCTCTTAGGACCTTAAAGTGAAAATGGGAATGTTCAATGCTGTGCATCTTGACTAGTCCTGCCTTTCCAGGAAAACCCTCCAAAGTCAAGATTGGCAGCAGTGTGAAGAGTTAAGGGCTAGGGATTTAGCTCAGTGGCACAGTGCCTGCCTGGCAAGTGCGAGGTTGTTTGATTCCTGATACGCACACACACAAAAAAGATTTGTTGAACATTTGCTAGGTAAATATATGCCTTTTTGTTTTATCCATGTGTTTGAGACAAGACCTTTGTATGTAGTCCAGCCTAGCTTTGAACCCAGACTGGCCTTGAACTCATGTTGATCCTCCTTCCTCAGCTTCCTTTGTGCTGGGATTAAGGGTGTGAACCCCCACACCTGGTTGCACCCTTCCTTTCTACTACAGCGCTTATCAAGTTCTTCTCACGGGCCTGGCACATCTTAAATATGTCACGTAAATTACTGAATTCTGCCAGCAACCCTGTGAGAAGACAGGGAGTATGATTATCACCATTTCACAGATGGAGAAACTGAGGCTCAGAGAGCTTAGGCAGTCTGCCTGCGTGTGGCAGCGCAGGGAGTAGGAAAGAACCAATGAATGAATGCACAAGGGAAGCGTGACTGGTGATGCAACAGGGGGCGCTGAGGGACTCGGAGGGAGGAGGAGAGGGAGTGGTGGGGTGGCCTACCTTGCACCCCTCACAAGTGATACAGCGGTAGTGATAACCGGTTGCCTTGTCCCCACACACAACGCACTGCTCGTCTTTGTCCAGGTAGCTAGGGATATACCCTGGTAAGAGGAAAGGGTGCAGACACCGGGCATGGCTTGGGGCCTTCAGGGAGGCTCCCACACTCTCCCTGGCCCCATCCTGCCCTTTCAGCCCCAGCTTGCTGAAGGGTTCTGTTCCCAGGTAGAACCCTGCCCATTCACTGCCCATTCCAGGCTGGCTGGCTGGCTTCCTTCTCTCCCTTGCTCCTGGCCTCCCTCCCTCTCTTCCTTTCTATTTTTGCAGTGTTGAAAATCAAACTTGGGGCCTTAGGCACGCTAAGCAAACGCCCTTCCCACCAAGCTGTCTCCTCAGCTCTTCTTATTTTCCAGTTTGAAGACAGGGTCTCACTCTGTGGCCTTGGCTGGCCTCAAACTCCTGGGCGGACATGATTCCCCCTGCCTCAGCCTTCCAAGTAGCTGGGACTACAGCTCTGCAGCACTGTACCTAGCTGCATTAGTGGGAGAGGTGAGATGGGGATTAACCCGGATCGGAGCAACTCCTTCCAGGAGAATGGAGGCCCACATTCTCTAGCTGAGGCCCTTATTCTGGTGGGGGCCTGCAGGAAGGTGTTTACAGGAGTACTCCATCCTCCTAAAGGCAGGGGCAGATCTCATATGCAGCTGGCCATTAACCCCAGACAACCCCCCATCGTCCTCTGGGCACTCCCCCCAGGGGCACAGGAGGTACTGGATGGAGCCCAGGATCAAGAGAGGTGTGGCAAGCAGGGCACAGAAAGCCAGCTCACCTGACATGCTGGTTTTCAGGGAACATTGGCCGTTCTTTCTTTTTCGCTTTCCATCTGGTGACCTGGCACTGGATGGAGACAAAGTGGGCAGAGTCACAGAGCAGTCCTGGGCACCCCCTGTTTACCCAAGAGGCTCATGCAATCCCCCAGGCCCAGCGCCTCCATCTTCTGTCCCCAGTCCACCTCTCACCCCACGGCAGCTGACAGAGCTTAGGAGGGCCTGGCTATCTGGTAACTGCAGGGAAAGATAAGGGCTTGGCAGGGTCGACTCAGGTCCTGCGGTCCCAAAACACGCATGCACACACACATACACACGCAAGCATTGCTCTATGGTCTCAACACACACACACACACACACACACACACACACACACACACACACACACGCTGCTGATAAATATGCTAAAAGAACCCTCAGAATATTCTTCAGGCTGTGTAACCTTTAGGATACACTGCATACATGCGACACACACCCGTATGCAAATGAATGACGGCACAGGCTCCAGTATAAACCCAAGTATGGTAGTAAGTCCCGGGATCTATTATCCCTGAAACTTCTAGGCACTCCTGAGTGTGATACATGACCCCTAGGACAGGCCCTGTGTTACACAAGCCCATGGACAGGCACCGGCCACCTCCCCTCCCCCAGCACAAACGTGTTGGTGATTTCCAGGCCCTGCCCACACATGCTACATAACCCATAGCCATGGAAAATACTGGATCATCCTGCCCACTCACAGCCTTCCTTTAGCAGAGCTGCCAATCAAAGCGCACTTGTGCCCGGCCACACCGTGTGCTGGAGTCAAAGCTAAGACAAGGACCCTGTGCCCCTCCATGCAGGGTATTAGCAGCCACCCTCAGCCCTGGCACATACATGTTGCCAGGTTCTGCACATACATGTTACGTAACCTTAGTACACGCAGGTTACATAAGCCCTCTGCACACATGCAGGGATTGTATAACCTTCCACACCCACCCTGCGCGTGGCATGTCGCAGGGCCCCTCCTCTTGGAGCCCGATGCAGCTCCCAACACACTGACACAGTGACCTTGGCCAGGGTCACAGTCGCTGACAGCCCTGTGCTCCACGCCCCTGGGGATCGCCCTCCTCTGGTTCCTAGGAGGCTGCAGGGTCAGGCCTCCCTCCTGCCTTCCGGAAGGCACCAGTAGGGCACCTCGCCCACCTGGGCTCCCAGCGGAGCTGTCCTCTTCCCCAACTACCCGCCTCCTGGTCTCTGGGAGCAGTCCCAGGGACAGCCACGAGGTGGCGCCTGGGGTGGGGGTGGGGATTGAGTGGAGGAGGGGCCGCCGTCTGGGGCACTGGGAACCTGCCTTCCCGCCTTTAACAGCCAACTGCCTATTCTCCCAGACCCAGAGAAGTCTGGGCAGGAAAACACGGGGGATGCAAGTGACAGCTCTATATGGACAGCCCAGATGTCCTTGTCCCTACCTGGCTGAGTGTTTGGGGGAGGGGCATCACCCCAGTGCCCTATGTGCACGAGTGGAGCCCCATCACTTCCTCTGCCCCTCCGGGGAACCAGGCGTGGGCCCCAGGGCTTGGCCTGGCCTCCAGCTGCCTGGCTCAGGCTCCGATCTCCTTGGCAACTGGGAGCCACACTGCTCCCCAGAGCACCCCCACCCCCAGCCTTTCCTCTGGTCCTAGGCACAGGCTGTACCCAGCTCCTGGGACACGGTGCCAACTGGGACAGAGCTCTGTGCCACCTGGAGCCGACGGGAGTGGCAGAGACCCTCTGGGCAGCCCAAGGACGGGGCAGGTCACAGGTGACCGTGCGTCCCTGTGTGTCGGGTATGGTGCAGGCCTTTCCCACGTGGAAGCCCAGCCTTTGCAGTTGGCCTGTGCTCCCTGTTTCCTGGGAGGAGCCCCGCAGCAGCGCCTGCCCTGCGCTCTGAACAAGGAAGAGCTTGTGGGGCTCCCCATAGACTCCCAGTGGAAGCGTGGGCTATGACCAACTGATGCGTGTGTCCTAAAATGTCACATTCCATGTGCCATGGCTGCGGACAGCACTTGTCCGTGGTCAGATGGGGACGGGCTGCTGGGGGAGGGGAGGATCACACAAGCACAGGTGAGAGCAGCAATGACAGGGAGGACAGATGCTGGGGCACCGAGCCCTCAGACACTGTCCAGGGTACAGGCATGTGGCCGCTGCCCCCTTCAGGAGGGGCCTCTCTCAACCCAAGCAGCTAATTCTCCAGTTCATCGGAACAGGTCCCTTCGCCTGTTGGCCTCACCGTCATCTCTGGAGATGTCTGAGGGACCCCAGCTCTCTCCTGCCCAGGCAGGGGACTGTGCCTGCTGTCTACAGTGGGCCCCTCTATGCCCGGTCCATGTGTTACCTGTTCTCCTCTGGGTCTGACCCACACTCCACCTTGCTTGGCTTCTGTTCCATTCACTTCAATTCCATCCAGGATGCCCTCCAGCACGCCAAGAGACTGGGGTAGGCACGCTGGCCCCCCCACACCCACAGGCCACCTGCCCCCCACCACCCAGGCCTTAGGGGCCAGCACCCATGGTATCCGCCAGGCCCTTGGCCTTTCACACCATGCCCTGCGCCCCAAGGAGGAGCGGGTGGTGGGAGGGGCCAGGGAGTGGCAGGTGGGGGACCTGGGGGTACAGGCTGGGTTCGTGGGCTGGGGGAGTCTCTTCTGAGTCTTGTCCTGTCCTGGAGATCCCTGCAGAGAAAAGACAGAGGGTGAGGTAAGACAGTGCCGTGGAGAGCAGTGGGTAGAATTCCTGACAGCAGCCCTAGGGGGTCCTGGAGCCCATAACAAGGTGGGCGTGCAGGGCAAGCAGAGGGAGAGGACTCAGGGAGAGAAGGCGGGAAAGAGTGAGGTCATCCATGTGGCAGGCCCTCGGTGCATGCTAACCCTCGGGCTCCTGTGATCCCTGTCTAGGCACATTTTCTAAGCTTCCTCAGGATGACAGGGTCAAGAGGAAATCAGAGAGAAGATTCCAGAACTGGCATGGGGGTTTCTCCACAGGCCGGAGTGGTGGGAACACAAGGCTAGCACATGGGGATCATGAATGTCCACCTTGGTGCCTTGGTGAACAGAGACCCTGAAAGGCAGGACTGATCCTCACACTCTGGCACAAGAACCCTGTGCCACTGCCCAGTCCGAAGCCCAGCTTAGCGGAGCTGCCTTAGCTGGCTTAACTGAGCTGCCAGCCACCAGGCTAGCAAAGGGAAAGGGCAAAGGAAACGAAGAGACGTGAGCTGAATAGATGACCTTTCGAACTGGGCATTGGATTTGACAGCTGAGGAAACTGAGTCGAAGAAAGCATGACCCAGAGGCTGGGGATTTAGCTCAGCAGCATAAGCGCCTGCCTTGCTAGTGTTGGGTCATGAGTTCAATCCCTGGTACCGATAAAAACAAAACAAAATAAAACAAAACAAACAAACAAAAAAAGACAAAGCATGACCCTTCCTTCAAGGAACTCACAGGGGTAGGAAGCAGGTGACGCAGGGGCTGCCCCCGCCGGTCTCCCAACCTCACTCTAACTACACTCTTGTTCTGCTACCTGGGGCCAGGGCACTGCCAGCCTTTGCCTGCTGCCCCAGCATGCTGCCCTTCCGGGCCCTGGGCTGCAGACCTGGGCTCTGTCTCCGTGCATGCAGGCAGGTGTGGCCAATGGGCGGGGACAAGGGGTGCCAGTCCCCACACTCAACCTCACCTCGTGGGCCCTGCACCAGAGGCCTCGCCCAGGGCCCCTACAGCCCTACCCCTAGGAGCTGATAAGGGGTCAGGGTAAGAGGAGGGGGCAGAGATAAGCCAGGACATAGGGCAGCCCCCAGGGTGGGGCATGTGGGAGGAGCACAGAAAAGTGGCCCATTTTGTCTCCAACACTGCCCCCCCAAGGCCAGAACTGGGCACTGGGGGCCCGGACAGGAGACTGGGGGGTGGGGTGGGTGCTAAGCGGGGAGCCTTAGCCCAGGGAGCCATCCAGAAAGTAGGTCAAGTTTTTCTTGGCTTGTGGAGAAATTCCTGTTATAAATTTATAATGGTGTAGCCAGCCCTTAGGAGTGGAGGTGGGAGAGGAGAAGGAGTGGGTGGGGTTGCCCGGGGCTGGGCACTGGGGCCTGCTGCTCACAGCCAGGAGAGGGGCAGGGGGTGAGGGGAGCGGGCTGGGCGGGACAATAGAGGCGGCTCTGTTCCTGCTTCTCTCTGGGCCCAGGAGGCTGCTCTTGGTCAGCTGTCAGCGTCTGCAGTGTGCTCCCCCCACCGGGTCTGGGTGTCTCCCTGCCCCCCAAGCTGTGCCTCGGTGCTTGGCACACCCTGGCTGCGGTGCTGCCCCCGCCTGTCTCCTGCCCGCCTGGCACACTGCCACCACTTGTTTACAGAAGCTGGAAAAATCCACTCGCCAGCCAGAGGCCCCAGCACCCCCTGGGAGGAGAAGAGGCAGGCCCCGGAGTGGGCACACAGAGAGGGGCAGCCCTGGGGAGCAGGCCCTGGGGGGCAGCGAACCGGGCCAGGGTGGTTAGGCTTGGGCATCAGCAGCCGTGAGCCAGGCTGAGCAGGGAACCCCAGCAGCAGCCACTTGGCACAGACAGGTCCCGCCCCGGGCCATAGCTTTGGAGGACCCCCTCATTGCTACCAGTTGCTACAGGGCAGACCTGAGGCTGTGCCAACCTAAACCACCCTACTTGTTTGCCCTTCTCTCTCTCTGGCCCAGCCTTAGCTCCCAATGAGTCTGGACACTGCCAAGGGCTTGCACGTGCCCGCCAATGGAAGGGGCGGGGGCCTTCCTGGCCCCACCTCTGTGCAGAGTTAAACGGTGCCCTAGTGCCAGTTGGTGCAGTCCAGGCTAGGCCCCTGGCAGGAGGCAGAGGAATGAGGTGCAGACCTCACTGCCCAGGGCACCCTTGCCTGGCACCTAGCAAGAGTCCGGAGTGTCTGAGGACTCCTTAAAGTCTCTCCAGGGACACTGGGACCTCTAAGGCAACACAGAGCCCAAGCAGAGGGGCCAGCACGGGTGGGGGGCAAGCAGAGCATCGTCAGGATAGGGACAGGACCACCCATCCTACAGGGCAGCATCCCCCCTCTCCTCTGGGAGTCTGGCTGAGTATTCCCAAGCTCCTTTCTGGCAAGGAGAGGCCTGGGCCCAAGGAGGTGGAGGGGGCAGAGCTCTGGGGTGCTGAGATTCATCTGGATGGTGGGGACAGCAAGACCCACCTGTCGGCTGGCCCGGCCACCCACTCCCTCTGTCAGATAAGCGCCGCCAGAGCCGCCGGGTGGCAGCGTGGGCAGGGTGCCCGCAGAGGGGGAAGCATTTCATTAAGCTTAAGTGCTTCTGCGATGGTGGGACAGGGACAGGAGAGATGCGGCATCCACAGGCACCAAGCCAGGTTCCCACTGCCGTCTGTCCCGCTTTGCAGCCCTGCAGACCCGGAGAACACCCTCAGAGAATTTGGAGACCACCAGCAGGCGGTCCCTGCCCCCAGGATCCAGCCACCACGACGGTGCTTAATGCTCTGCCGAGTATCTGCACTTGGCTTTGGTCCCAGCGTTCACTGGGGGCCCCTGAACTTTGCCCTTAATGCTCTGTAGCAAGCCCAGCCCTCCTCCTGGAAGCTCCAGAGAGAGCCACCTTGAGGGGTTGGAGGGGGAGGACAGGGGCAAAAGGGGTGATGAGAAGGATGGGGAGGAGGAAGAACAAAGCCATGGATCAGGGATGGGGTGGAATTAGGGATGTCAACAAAGTAGAGGAAAAGGAAGAAAGGAGAGGTGGGAAGGGGATGACAGAAGGTGAGACATAAGAAGTGGGGAGACAAAGGGAGAAGGGTAACAAAGAACGATGGGTGGGGGTGCTTCATGCCCTGCCTAAGTCCCACCCCATGGTGGCTGGGGGAGGGGCAGTGGGACTGGTTTCCACGGAGACAGCTGGTTCTTGGTGGCCTGGCATGTGGGCTATTAATAGTGCTGTGGGTAGGTTCACACCTCCCTCTCCCCTTCCCCTCTGCCTGCTGCTAGGGTGGTGGGGATCCCTCCCCCACCCACTTGCCCACCCACTCGCAGTCACCTAGTATCCATGCCCAGCTCCACACATCGAGGGAGCCAAGGCAGGCCACGTTGTGGGGCTGGGTGGCCACCGTGGCCCAGACACACGCAGGCATGCATGGGCAAACAGGCATCTGTGTGCAGAAACTGCCCCCGTGCCAATGTGAGCTGGCGCAGCAGTGCCCGGGATTCTACAGGTATTGTGGAGCTGCAGCAGCCACCCACACCCCTGTGTTATGGAGGGGCAGAGACCTCAGGCTGGGACCTCAGTCTCCTCCTCTGCCCCCCTCCCCACTCTGCTCTCTGGTAGGATTGGGCACGGCTGCCCCACCCAACTGTCTGTTATCCCCATGCCAGGAAAGACAGGCGTGAAGGCGGGAAGGCAGGTTGCGTCTGGCAGGTATGATGGAAAGAAGTGAGCACAGACTTGGGGAACAGTGTGGCTGGGGGGCAGCACCCCTCAGTGGGCTCTTGCTGAGCATCAGCTGATGGGATTTCAGAAGCCCAAAGTCTGACTTCCGAGCCGCTGAGGGACTTGAGGGGCTAAGGAATGGGATTTGGGATGTGGAGTGTCCAAAAGGGAGACTGGCAACTCAAACAAAGGATCCTGTCTACACACACCACCCCCCAAGAATAAAACAGGAAACTCTCCCCTTGCAGGTCCGGGACAGCAAGCCATAAACAGCGCCCTGTCTTGGGCCAGATGCCCGGTACTAACATCAAAGTCCCTTTCCCCATGGCTCCCCCAGGACCTCACCCACCTGCAGTTCTCCCAGGCCCAGCCCGGCATCAAGGGAGGTGCCCGAGTCTAGGGGTCACCTCCCTGGTCATATCCAGCCCCCATGCCCACTGATAAGACAGTTGTGACCACACCCAGACCCCCTCCTCTGCAGCCCACAGAACTTCAGGCCCTCTGCCCCAACTGCCCCTAACAAAGGAGAGGAGATGGGGCGGATAGCCAGATGCGGTGGTACACCCCCAGAATCCCAGCACTTGTAAAACTGAGGCAAGAGGATCATCATGAGTTCAAGGCCAGCCTCAGCTACACAGTAAGAACCTGTTTCTCAAAAAAGCAAACACACAATAAATAAATAAATAAATAAATGGAGGCAGGAGATTTGAATACCCAAGAAGGCCGAATGAGGTGCTCAGGAGCCCCCCCAAGCTGGGCTCGGCCTATTTCCCCTCCCCCCCAGCAGCCAGCCAGTGGGTAACTGGAGCTGGGAGCTGGGGCAGCTGAGTGCCGGAGGCATGAATGTCACGGGGCCAAGGCATTCCCTACAAAGGCATCATCGCACAAGACTTGGGGTACTCCCTGTGCACCCCCTCTTCCCAGGCAGAAGCTGCCCGCCGCCACCTCCCTGGAGGGTGGCCTGGAGGGGGAAGAGTGGAGGGTGCGGGAAGAGACGCAGCATGTTCTCCCAGGCACTTCTCCCAGGGAAGCAGGAGCGGCCCCCACCCCGGCAGCACTGGCAGGGACAGGGGGAGAAGGCGGAGGAGCAGGAGAGACGGAGAGGAGGGAGACAGG